TTCGGCCTTCATACTATGTGCTCGAATTACTGTTTAATATTGTACGCATTTAATATGCGTTTTCGCAATTTATAGGAAAAGACAATGTCACATGTAGGTATTTTGCGAACTGTCGTTACCGTTGGCAACAGTACGTTTAAGGTGATCATAAAGTTAAATAATAGTTGTAGTCTTTAATTAAATAGATCAGCTGATTTCTCTATCCCAGTAGCCGCTTCAATCACAGGCAGACAGATCAGATGCAAAAGGTACAAGACTCCCCGAACTTCGAGCTTACTGCATTTTCAGTTCTGTTTCTAGTGTCACCTTAGGCCCCTGACGCTTTAACCTTAACCCAATTAATCTTCTTTTGTCTTGTCCAAATTCGGAATAAGTAATGATAGATGATGAGTCGTTTATTAAATAAACAGAAGTAAAGAATTTGTATATCTTCGAAGATAAAATATCTAACAAACATTTGAAAACACGTAAGATTCGGTTCTCCTTCGAAGTAAATCATGATTTATTAAATTTAAAAACTATATTTAAATTAAACAAATTAAAACCACTTTATAATATGTTAGAAGAACTAGAACTTGTCCTATCGGAATTTAAATTCTAAGCTAATTACGGCATTTATAGATTATTTATTTACACGGATGTGATGTGATGACCCATACTTTTTTTAATAAGCTTAAGACTTCTGCATACAGTGTCTGACATGAGGAGCATCTTTATTTTACTAGGAATCATTACAGTTCCGGCTTTATGATGATACATTGTTTGTGCAAATGTTTTTAACGGAGAAATCATACGTTAATTTTTATTGATGATGAGGTGCAATAACGGACCGAACATACTACATACGAAGTTAATGTTGGTTGCGTAACACTTTCGAAATTGTAGAAAATTTGTCGACAAAAAGTGTGCTTTAAAACTTATTATATCTTTCAAAGAAAGGTCATCTCTATGTCTATTAATTTCGTTAGTGAAGTTTGTGAAGTGTTCCAAATAATTTAGTAAGCAAAATGTAAACACAATTTTTTTTAAGTAATTCACTTTGTAGGTAATGTTTTAGTGGTTTATATTTATCCTTAACTATTTAAAAATATTTTTATCTATGATCATAAGGCGACAATAGTGCGTAAGAACGAAAGCGAATGTGCCCGAGGCTGGAAGAAATCGAAATCTTGCTGTTACGCAAGCGGCAAGCCGAAGGCTGAGGTCCCGTTGAGTTGCGTAAAGATATGGCGTGTACGCGTGTACCAGGGGCCATCACGTTTGCTGACCTCTGTTGTACGAACAATACTTTACATTACAATTGAAGTTATTATTTTTATACATAGATAATGTACTGCTCCTTTCCTTATTTTTGTGTAGGATTAACGTTTAATAAAATTATTGCTTTGAACCAACTCGCTATTATCTGCTGTAATAACATAGTCTTGACAATAAAATCCATGTAATAATTGCTTTATTCCAATTAAGGTTAAATGCATGATAGTTAATTGAATCTAAGTAGCACACATCGTGTACAACTTTCGCCAAATTCAAAACAGTCTTCTTGATATTATGTCAGTTATATTTAAGTCACGGTTGCGCGTAATCCGGCGGCGCTTGCGCAATAGTGCGTAGTGACGACTTCGATGAGCCGTCGTCGGCGCGTGCTTTTCGTTACAATTGCGGCCTGCATTTTTGCCCGTGTCGACCTGTGTCATGGCAAAGTTGCATAAGTATCTCGCTTCTTATCACAAGCTGAGGTGCCATCAATATATTTTTTAATAGAGACTGTTGAGAAGGGATGTAATACATATTTCCTTACATAATAGAGAATAAATGTGTGTGCATGTATACCTAATCTTTGTTCTCTGATAAAAAATGCTCCGGTTTTAATTTTCTTAAATCGTTTTTTAAACTGAATTAACAATGTTAATGTTATTAAAAAAATGTTTCATACTGTTTATATTTAGATTTACTGTTTTGTTCGAAATATAAAATTCTTTCGGTTATTTTATTTTCAAAAAAAACCTATATATCGGGGCAGTTCTATTTACGATACGATTACACTCTATAGTGCGTAAATTTATTTTTCGCCAGTTTGCGTGACTTCATAAAATACACAATCAGTATACACACCACATTTTATCTCATCAAACAAGCTAGACGATTTTAAATTTAATACGACACAGTATCGTACGATACGAAAAACAATCAAGAACAAAAAAGACTAACACAGAGCCTATTTTACATACCTACCAATAAGCTGTCAGACAGCTTGTATTTATTTTGTTTACATTATGTAACTAGGTAGGTATGAGGAAAATAGCGTATCCAGATATTGAATCTAGGCATGACTAATTTTTGTATAAGGGGCGTATTATTTAAAAATAACGAAATACCATCTGCTTCGGAGAGAAAAAACTCTTTAGCCTTATAAGATTAATATATATAGAATACTATGCATCTGCTTTTGTCATTCTACGAGTATAGTACTCTAAATCTAATATTTGATGTCCTAATTGATATTTAATTCAAGTTAACGCTCTTTAATTTAATTTTAAGCTAATTATTTCCTCAATTATTATTCTTTATTTGTTATTGCGCATTTTTAAGTTTTTGTATACATGATTGTACCTACTACTCAATTTATTCAGGGTACTGTTTCTTCTTTTTTTAGCATTTTGCTGATCTGTGTTAACCTGTAGACGAAGTTAATGTTCATGTATTCATTTTTGACGTTTAAATAAAAGCTTGTCTATTTTTATTTTTTTAAGGTTAACTGAGTCATGTAGAGTGGTTGTAAGAATGTTTGAGGTCGTTAACATCTCGGTTGTGGTTAATTGCGATTCTGTTATTTTTTTCGTTTATTTGATGGCCATCGATATACTGTACCTGTATTTGGTTTTAAAAATGCCACATTCGCCCCCCCCCCCCCCCTTTCACTTTAGAAGACCTACATATTCTTTTATTAATATTTAATTGAATGAAAGCCGATTATAACAGGGGTAATTTAACAAACCAAAAAATTGGATAGTTTTTTTAGATTTTATTTTCATTAACGCCCCAGTCTTGGTTTAATAATAATGTGACGCAAACAAAAGATTCAAAGATTCATCTCGGATATCTATATTACAGTTAAAAATGTTAAAGTTGTAATTTATCGATGATTGTTTATAGTGTGTAAAAAAAAATACTTGATCACTCTACAAAAGCTCCACGTCGGCCTCGATGAGGCATTTACCTACAATGAGCGGCGAGTACAATTACCAATAAAATGCCAATTTGACATCCATATTTGGACTTATATAGACTTGTTATTACAATCATTATACATACTTGTATAAATCATGTATAGAACTTAATGTTACAGTAATTTATTGTCTTTGTTAAATGCTGATTTTGGATTATTATTAGTTATTTACAGTAGAGATTTACCTCCTGTATGTTTTGTACAATGTAAACATGTTACGAGTAAAATTGACAAACTCATAAACAAATGTGTATAAGTCTATGCTTATACACATTTATTTCTATATCTACATATATATTTCCTCAACTGAATAGACATATACCTCTTAATCATAACTAATATGAGAAATACGTGAGTGTTTTTATTTGCTGGGTTGCTGGCTTTATCTAGTTTATAGAACATCACCGGACCTTGAACTTTTAGTTAGGTTAACTAAACAGTCTAAAAAGAAAATGTTTGTGATACAATAAATTATTTAATTCACGAAAAGTGATAAGATGTACTTTATTGTACAATATGTGTGTGCAATCTAAGTGATAAAAAGGGTTTTCAAAGTCCTTCCCGGCTCAGTTAATATTTGGTTGATAAACCAAAAATATTTATCTATTCTAAAATATAACAATACCTTTCCGTAACGCATTGTTGAAAAATAACGTGAGAAACAGAAAGACTACTTCGCTGATGTTTTGTCATTCTGTGTCTGCAAGGCTTATTCTCTTAGACACAAGCAAGAGGTCGACACAAATAGCCATTACACAATATTATCATCACCGGCGGACGATTACCAAATCGAAGAGCTTGTCAGTCTTGTGACAATGGTAGCGATGAATTTTTGTCCACTATTATTTCGTTATCGTGTGGAGCAAGATCAAGTATTTTAAAAATTAGGGTACAGAATGACAGGCCTGCATTCATGTAACCTGCTAAAGGTTTCTTAGAATAATGCTAATAGCATGGTAATGCAATAGCGTATTTTTTTAAAGGACAGTTTATTAATAGCATAAAATAACAATTTTTTGATGGTCGGTCATGATCATGTACTCGTGTGGGCGAGCTTAAATATTTTCGGCGAACTTTATCTATCTAATATTAATCCACCAAATAAATAGATGATAGTTGTTTAAGGATGCTACTCAAACTAGATTTTCTTTATTTTATCTGTGACAAATAATAATTAATTCTTAATATACATAATTTTGAAGACAAATAACATATACGCGTCACAAAGTGGAGTTATATAACAATAATTAGTAAAAAAGGTGCTACTAATATGTATTATAAAAAGTAGAACAACATGAGGTCAGAATCCAGTTTCGTACAGACGAGTACTTACTTAGCTGTTTTAAAACTTTTTTACAGTGCGTAACTTGTAGATGAACTTTGAAATTGCGTTGACTATACATACATATACTGATTTTAAAACTAGTAAACTATTTTGCCTAAAGTATTTCAGCCATCAAGGTTGTTGCAATAAGGTCGACTGCAACATGTACCCGATACAATATGTAATTATATCTATTTGAAAACATAGAGGGTGCAATGTACATATAAATTATTATTGCCTGTTCTATATAACTGGTTTAAATGAAGACGTTTTACAATAATTCGTTGTCTGAAACGGTGAAATGGAGTTGTGGTGGTAACAAAAGCCTACTTCATTTAGCTTTAGGCATTCTTGTATCCGTGACCTTTCAATAATTGGAGAACTTAGGCAACTAGAAATAGATTGCTACGATTTCTATTAGGTAACTGTATAAGCAAAAAGACTTACATTTTACAAGTTCCCATTTTCTCTGGTAACAATAGATAACTGAACCAAAGTTTATTAAAAAATAATTAAAACAGAACAAAGAACACAGTTTGAACAGGATCACTTTTATATATTTTTTGTACGGTTGAATGTCAATATTTTAATTAAATCGTAGCGCGTTTCACGTGTAAGCGGTTTGCGAGACAGGCGAGGCGCGCCGTTCGCCGCGAACGTGCTGTCTCGATGGTAAGAACGGAATGAGGCTGCTGGCTGGAGGCTCACTCAGCTGTACAGCAGCACGACTGCGGCTGCTCAGAGAGAAAGTTAAGTTATCAAACTCCGCGGTTACGTTCAGCGATGACGCTATCTTCTCAGGCGGTTGCGTATTCGGTGACAAAATTTAATTTTCGCATACCCGTGACAATTTATGCGCTACTGACACGGTGTGCCTTTATGGTGTCCTAGTTTTAGTATGAGAATTGTTTATTTACATTGCTTACATTTAAATAAATAAATTATAATGTCATTTGAAGTTGCATGTCATTACAGAATGGTATCAAAATAGACGGTAATAGTGTTGATTTTTTCACTCAATTCCTTTTTTTTTATTTTTTCTGTTTGGTGTACAGCTCACAAGAATGTGCTGCACACAGCGTGTCACTTCGCGAGGTATTTCACTCCAGTAGCTTAAAGGAAGTGTTTTCTTATGTAGAGATTACTGACGGATTTCTTTAAACAGATTAAATCAATATTAACATTTCTGTATAAGCGAAAACCTATTAAACAATTGTCCTAATTTTTTATATAGAGGAAAAATATTAAAATCTGTCCGTAATAGCATTATTGATTAATTTCTTTCTTAATTAATTTCAATTTGAATGTTTCACAAATATAGCAAAAATCGAAAATAAAATGGTGTTTAATCATTGCTAAATATTTTCGTTAATATAAATTTTCAAGAAATATGCAAATTGTTGATTAGTAATATACGGTTTTTATTATTTTGTGCCCAGGTAGCCTATTTTTAAAATACGTTACTGACTCCGTTGGTAGGTATTATTGTAATAGGTACCTACATGAAGTATTTATGTCATCCATAAACATCGCGATGCCGAGTTAAAACGAGTATTACATTTATCGGTATTATGTAATACGCGGGTTAATATTTATTCGATTGTATGTAAGTGGTGACCGCGCAACTTTCACTCTTGCGAATGTGGGTAGGTCGTTAAGAAAACTCATATGAGAAACGTATGCAACTGTATACTAAGCTGCACATCTGTATATTGATATTATTATCAACCCATTTTAGCAAACATCACGAACGGAGGAATGTGAAATTTGATATACTTCACCAGTGTAATTTTTTTTTATCACATTCACACAACGCTGTTTAGTCCCCCCCTAAGCAGAGCTTGTACTATGGGTAACTAGACAACTGATATTTTTTTTTTGTAAATACACATATTTTACATAGAAACACCCAGACCAAATGAAACATTAAATTTTCATGCACACAAATGTTTGACTTGAGCGGACCCGCGGAACCCGCGGCCTTTGGAATAGCAGTTCGTTACACAAACCACTAAACCATCCGGTGCTCCACCAACAATATGTGTTTTAAACTTAACTTACTGGTCTATTTTATTCAATTCAATTCAATTTATTTATTTTCTCTTCGAAATTAGCTAACTTACAATTTTTTTTGGAAATAGTAGCAGTATACAAAACAGCATCCAAAACTAACGTGAGAGACTGGTGCCTGAAGTAGATTTATTAACATCTGTATTATAGGTCAGCAGAGCAATCTCGCTTCAGTACAAAGAAATGTGTATATGAGGAGTATAGTCGATTTATTCATTCGTTTCTTTACAGCACTGAAGCCAAAAACATTAAATAACCATTGTAATAGAGTTACGCCGGTCACAGCTTTCCGCAATCGTTCAACTCTACAAAATTTCATTCAAATAACTTGGATAATAGCCATCCACCATTGTGCACTTTTCAAGGTTTTGCGTCGCACAGTCAATCTGCCCAACAAATTGTTGCCTGCAGTATTTCCTTGCCAATACATAAAAGGTCGGTAACGTAGTTGAGATTCTTGTGTTGCAGGTATCCATGGACGGCGATAGTCACTTACCATCAGGTAACTTGTGTGTTCGTTTTCCGATACCACCTATCGGTGGCATGTCGGACTCGAACCGACTAAAACCGCACGCCGTCTCGGGTACTAATAGCCGGGGAACCAGGTATACCCTAGAAAGGAAGTCCCTGGTGTCCCGACATACCTCGGGCCATCAACAGACGAGTAGACGACCCCCCCCCCCGTGTGGGAACCCCATGTTCCCTCTGCTCCCTGGAAGCGAGCGCGCTTCGCAACGCGCTCGCCGCCACCCCGGCCTGCTTCTGCTAGGGTGACAGATGGCCTCACCTGTCACCCCCAGGTGTTCGTTTTCCCCTAGATAATAAAAAACACAAATTATATCTCAAAATAGGGAGAACGAGTATCTTTTGAATATGGAAATTTAAAAAATACTAAATTTACCTAAATAAAAATGAAAATTCCTTATAATGTTTAATGAAAAATAGTAATCTGATAAAAAAGCAGAACAGACTTTACGGACGTGTTACCACGGCTACCGCGTTTCACAATATTAAACACAACCAAAATCGGCTCACTTGTTTAGAAGCTATTGTGCCACAGCCAGGTACAGATACACGACATTTTAAACTTATAACACCCTTTTTTGCGTGGGGGTTCAAAATTCAATAACAAAAGAAAATTATATTCAAATGCTATTCTTTTTATTCTAATCTGATAATAATGTTCAATATTAATGACACATGATATGGGAACGGATTGGATATATTAATATATAGATCTACTATAATTACATAAAAGGAAAGAAATATTTACATAAAATACACAACACAACATGTTACAGTTTTGCATAAACTTTACTTTATTATTAACTTGTTTTTAAACTATTACAGACAACTATTTCAAAAATTGGGAAATACATCCATAGCTAGACTATAAATATCCTCATTTTCGTAATACATCTTTCAAACACAAAGGGCAGTTTTATCGCAGTTTGTGATTTCTTCCAGACATCCATTTATATAGAGCGATGCATTGGATTTGTGTATCTATATATAAAAAGATAAACTATTTCTATACTACATTATATATTTAAGGTTCTCTAAGTGGTAGTATTTGTATAAAAGTGCTGTAAGTGCCTCAAAAATAATAAATAAATAAAATATTCTTCAAGCTAGACTCAGAAACCCGAGACGGATATATACTGTACATATTTTAGTGTTTTTAATGTCATTAGGCTGTGCACTAACTTGGCGTGGTGATTAAGATACGAAATACAAAATGTAATAACCACTCATTCATATCTTGACGTCCTCTTTAACAGTCATCACGTCCTTGGACATAGACATTCTAACCTTAACCTTTAGAGCTTTGCAAGTGTTTTTTTTTATTTGTAATTTTTATTGTAAGTGGATTATAGTTTCCTTAGCAGTGGCGATAAAGCTCAAGATTAGTTAATTCATTATCATTCTAATAAATGTTTGTTTAGTTTATTCTGAGATGAAAGAGATATCTAAAAGTAAATGTAGGTTGTCATTAACTGATCTGTTGAACTTTATTTTACTCACATTCACGTTCATTTCGGGGATGCAGAAATATCACGTATGAAAGTTTTGTTATCAACAGTTGACTTTGGTATTTATTTTTCTAAATATGCTGCGTTGTTAATTTCTCCTAAAATTCTGCAGTGGTGGAATGATCCTTGTTTTATGAATCCTGCACTGAATCCTTATCATAACTCTGTTGTTTTTGGTTTAAGCATGCACAGTTTCACACCCCCTTTAGACTTTAGATCTCCCTCAGTTTCTATATTCCAAAATGTTTTGGAGCAGTGAGCAAGAAAACTATTTCATACTGCTCTAGAGGGCAAAGACTTTGCTTTTATCCCAGTCCACAAGACATGATGACTTTTAAATGATTTGAACGCAGGAGTTACAGATTTGAAATATGTAAGGAACTAATTAGTAAAGTAGTCCTGAAATTCCACGATGTGTTTTATCCCTATTTGTTGTTCAATTGAATACCACTTACTCTATCAACTTAATTACCAACCTCGGCTTGTAACTTAGTCGAATACGATGAGAATTTATGTGCCACTCTAAGTTGTTGTTGACAAACGTTGTCGTGTAGATTTAACATCGAAGTCCTATGATCTCTTTTATTTTTTCGTTTCTTTGTTTTAGTGTGCACTATGGCTAGTACGAATAATCATGAGTACTTGTGAAATAGCTTAAAGCCACATCTATTACAATTACTTGCTGCCGTTCAGAATTTATTTATTTACCTCAGAGCATGTTAAGAAGTTTACTTATAACGTAATATGATTTTACACGAAGCATTTAACGAAAATACAGTTTTGTAGTACTGTCCGGTCTATGTAAAGACAGTAATTTGAAAATATACTATAATTTAGATAAAGGATAAACACTACTCTATTTGTTGTTTCTAAGCCTTAAGTAGAGATAAGCAGCAGCCACTATGTACGCACATTATCTGGTCTGGTAAATAAGCTGGTCGTTAGAGCTATGTTTGCTAACGGGGAGGTAAAGTTAATGTCAGAGGACGTAGGTAATCTTATACCCCATTCTAGTTATTTTTTATTTAATTTGGATCACCAACAAGGAATACACCTTACATGCTATAATGATATTAGGTTTACAATGTTTGAGTAAGTGTGCTTCCTTAATAACTGGCGACCACATCATGCAAAAAATTATACAAATTACAATTATTTTGTTTGTTTGTTAGATAACAAGATTAGTTTTATATAAAAATTCATTGTGACTTTCTTTCTCCTTTTGTTTTTAATTCTCAAATTAACAACAAGAAAAAGTGATAGTACCATAAAAATCGGTCGGCGGCATATTTATACAGAGTAGACAAAACTTGAAAACTAAAAATTTAAAAATTAAATTACAAATTGAGTGTTCGGAGTGA